TTTAGGCTTCTCCTTATTTTTATATTTTAGACATCCATGAATTAGTGATGAAAAAAATTGCCTCGCTGGTGGAAACAACACAAGACCGTGCTAGACGTAGTGTCCAGCAGCAGCAGCATGTATGGTGCGTGCCGTCAGGACACATTTGGGAGAAGGGGAAAAAAAGATGTGCTCGGGTCGGGGTTGGGCTCGGGCCGGTAATTCTGATAAGCTGTCGGACACGGGCCGGGCTAGGGCCTGAGCGTCTCGGGCCAGGGCCGGACTAGGGCCTAAATTTGAGGCTCGTTCAGGGCTCTAGCAGACGGAGTACGTGTGAATTTGATGCAACAAATCTAGTTCAACATCTAGGCAACACCACAAAGAGCTCTATGACCACAGCATGGCAAAAAAAATCCCTGGACACAGGATTTAAAAAAAACAATTTTCTGCCATAGAGACATTTTGTTACACCTTCACTGAGTGATTATTTTGCTTATGTCACATGTTATAGCTTTTTGATAAAAAAAATATTTTCACCTTACTTTCTCAACGACTCCCAAACGATTCGCTCAACGATTAATTTTTCCAAACCCCTCCTTTGTGTGACGCTGATCTGCGGTGATTGTTCTGATTGGATCTCGTCTGTAATGCCTGATAAAGCAGCGTTTGTGAGCGCAGTGCTGCTTTGTGTACAGCGTTACCGGGGAAACAGCGCTCCAAAAGTGGCACCTAGTGGCAAAAAATGTATTTGCATTTTCATTTTGACCAACCTGAAAAGACCAACAAGTGGGCGGGCAATATGCTAATGTTTCATGTTGACCAACTTGGGATTAGTTTTAAAAACGACTTGTTTCTATGATTCAGAGTCGACTCTTGCTTTAGAGAGACAATAACTTTATACACAGTGCACTTTCAGATTTAACACTTTGCAGGATGTTTTCATTCACTTGGAGCTGTGTTACACACTGCATGAAAGGCAAAGCGATCAAATTTCTCTCACCTGTGACCGTCACGGTGACGGGGATTACTCCTGTTGAGATTTCAGCTGTGTAAGTTCCTTCATCACTGGATGTGAAGTTTTTAATGGTCAGGCGGCTGTTCTTGTCAGTCAGTCGATCAGTCAGGACGCCCCATTCTCTCCTCCACACCTCTTACCAGCCAGCTTTTGTAAAATGCTCAATGCTCTCAGCCTCATGCGGCAGATCATCAAACATCAGCTCTTTGCCTTTCTGTCCTGTTAAATGAACTAAGGAGAAATAAAACAAGAGCATAATTGTGACATTGTGCTTTTATAATATTGATGGCGTGTGGTATTACACTGGTGTAACGTAATATGAAATACACACTGATACTAAATGAAAGCAACAAAAAGCTAAAATCAATAGGGGTGTGTGAGATATCAGAATGAGTTTTTTTTATTGCCAGGTATGTTTACACATACG